CTAAAATAATTAATATGCTTTAAACATTTTTTGTCTTGAATCAAGAAAAAAGAAAGATATTGAGATCATTATTCTGTTACTTATTTGTGTTTATTGACTATGAATAATGCTAGTAGTTTTCAGTATTTTGATCAGAAAAATATGAACTAGCAAAAATATTTTTTCAGATGACCATTAAATAAATTATGTTGGATCATTACTTGCTATCATAGGCAATTAATTGTTAAAATGAAAATTGTTTAAAAAGAAAAAAAAACATTTCTATCAATCAAGAATGTATATTACCAATTACCTCTAATATAATTATAGCTCAAGACAACTAGAGTTTACTAGTAGACGATAGTAAGGTGTCCGTCGTCTGTCTGTCTGTTTGTAAATTATTTTTCAAAACGTTACCACTCCTACAGTTTTGTCTTATTTCAATATAACTTTGCACAAGAGTAGACCAATTAATATATAACTTTGTTTCAGTTTTTGATTTTGATCAAGGGTGTTTCCATGGCTACTAAAAATAGAAATATCAGTGAAAAAGATTTAAAATGCTACTCCTCCTACAGTTTTTGTCTGATTTCAATATAACATTGCACATGGGTGGTTCTACACCAAGATACATAATTCTGTGTAGCTGCAGAACTGAAGCTCTCCGAAAAAAATATAAATTGACACACCGGTCTGTTAATATATACTTTTTCGGAGAGCTACAGTTCTGCAGCTAAATTCTGCGTATCGTCTTTTAATTTTTATTAGCAGTGTTGCCATGGTTACTAAAAATAAAAATCTCTGTGAAATACATTTAAAAGGTATGTATGTATGATACATAATTCTGTATATCAGTTTTGATTTCGATGAACGGTGTCCCCATGTTTACTAAAAATAGAAATGTCTGTGAAATACATTTAAAATACTACTCCTCCTGTAGTTTTGGTCTGATTTCAATATAATGCGGCATTGAAGTAGACTACACATAGGTACATAACTGTTCCCTATATTGTTATGTTTTTATGAATGACGTACCTTGTTGTAACTTAAAATGAAATTTCAAAAAAAAAATTCAAAACGCTACTCCTACATTTTTTTTTCCACAAAAATTCTTGTCACAAAAAGAGTATAAATCAAGGATCATGATTCTATTTATTACTTTTGCAAAGTTTCAAGTCCAATTGCTGTTTTTCTCTTCCTTTGTTACAAGTACAAACCAGTAGAACTACAGTCTCGACAGAGACTTCTGGTTGTCAAAATAAGTAAAATGTCATTTGGTTCTTGATTAAAATAATTATTATTTTTTCACGTAATAATATTCCATCTACTTTCTAAGTTTCCTCATTTTAATGTCGCCCCCAAAACCTTTACCATAAATATTTCCTCTACCACAAGTTGGTAAAATTATGAATCAAAAGTTTCCTCGTGCAAATCAACAAAAATTTTCGTTTAATTAAATGTTGAGCTAAGTATTTATTTTGTAAAGGAGCTACCATGTATAGCCCTAGTGTAAAAGTAAGCGTCATCTGTAAAAGTCAGTGCTCCTCGTAAAAGTCCACTATGATTCATTCTTTCTAAGTATTTTCTGTGCGTAAAAATAGATAATGGTATTTTCAAACAAATAAATCACAATAATTGCTTGCAATTCTAAAATAATTAATATGCTTTGTACATTTTTTTTGCCTTGAATCAAGAAAAAAGAAAGATATTGAGATCATGATTCTGTTACTTATTTGTGTTTATTGACTATAAATAATGCAAGTAGTTTTTAGCATTTTGCTTGGAAATATACGTATTAGCGAAAATATTTTTCAGATGACCATTAAATAAATTATGTTGGATCATTAGTTGCGATAAAGGTCGCCCTTGATATACACTGAATGTGAAGTGGAATAATATTTGAATGCATTGATAGCTTTGATTAAGGGAAAAAAACCTGTTTTAATGATGTGGTCAACCAGACTGCATATGTAATAGTTTGCAATTAAGCTGAAGCCTTAATGCATGTATTATGGAGATAAAGAACAATAATCAAGGTAAAATAAAAGGCCAGAGTGGAATCAGATGCCATGGAGGAATAAGCATCATATGTCGACAGATCACATGTAAATAGTCAGGATAAACCGAACAATACCAAGTCAATTATTATCAGTATAATTAAGATGGCGTAATCAGTAGTTTCCCCATAGTAAATATTTACTCCTCCATCTTCTGTGGGTATGTTTTTGTTTACATTCTGTCAGCTGCATGAAGCAAGCGTCATTCATTTTTTCCTCATTATTTCCCCATTCTTTTGTTGTTATTTTTCTCAAATTTATATTTATTACTTCTCCTGTATTTATTCTCTATAATATTCTTCTTTGTTAATTCAACCACTTTCTATATTAATGTTTTCTTCACATACATATTGTACATCTATTAGATTTCTTACGTATAATTAGAACGTCACTTATTTTTGTAATTTAACATAATTTCATATTCAATGTGACATTGTATGTCAATCTCAAATATTGTTGTAATGCAGCTTAAACCGTGTTATGTAACTATCTAATAAGGGTATGTCATCTTTATCATAAATAATAAGGAAACGGATTAGTATAAGTATAAGCGATAAAAATTCATTACATACTCATGTGGGAATAGTGAAATTCCACCTTGGGGCCAAGTTTCACGGTCTAGGACTCGGCAAAGCCTCGTCCTAGACAGTGAATCTTGTCCCCTCGGTGGAATTTCACTATCCCACACTCGTTGTAATGAATGTTTCTATTAATCCTCTATATAAATTGGGAATTTCACAATGATACTGGTAATATCATCTTATTTATTATAAACATGCAATGTAAATTGTTAGTTAGCAAACAATGGTGGTCTCTAGTAGAGACCTAGTTTACAAAAACCATACTTTGTAGTTATTGACAATCAGAAACTCTAGCATCTTTTGAATTTAAAATTTGAATTAAATACCGATGTGTAAAGTCGAATGCTTTTAAAACAATTCAGGTGATGAATAATGACCAGGTATGAAGATTTACAAGTTTCATAAATTTATCACACCAGCAAATTGATTGACCATTAACCAAAAAAAAAAACAACTTATTCTTATATTTACATTTTATTTGATTCTTGATTTGAAATCAAAATCTCGTCATGTGTTACAAAACCACAACAATGACATAGTTATTTCCATACTTTTAGAAATGTTAATATCTTAGATGTATGTTGCCTTTTTTTCTTTTAAAGATTACATTTGTTTTTTGTAGAAGACTCCTGACTAAATGTTATGTACACCAAAAAGATGATAAAACTGGGGATTTTGATACTTTACTTGACAAAGGGCAAGAATTAGTCATTTTTGTTTACTTTTGAACTTAATATATTCAGAAAACTCCTTTGTAAGTTTATATAAATGGTCGGAAAATTATGACTTCATCTTTTTGATTTTCGCTTGATAATAAAAATAATAATAATAATTAAATTAATTTTTGTCTCTCTTTTTGAAAGAAACATATGGAGATAAAAACAGTTCTCAAGATTAAAATTTCATAAATTAATACAAAATAAGAGCGGAGCAAATACGGACCTCCAAAGCATCAGAAGTGGGATCAGGTGTAATGGAGAAGTGGACATCCCCTGCCGACCGGTCAACCCGCCATGTGCTCCTTGTCATGGTCGGGAAATAACGGGAAAATCCGTCGTCAGTAATGGACTTTAAATTAGTATGAAAAACGTTAGTCAGCAATTAACTCAATGATTAATTTATTTGCTGATAAGGACATTGTATCGACAATAGAACTTACGAAATGATGACTTTAAACAAGACGCTGATATCAATAGCACATGGCGTGTGTGACCGGCCGGCAGGGGATGCTCACGCCTCCATGGTACTCCAGCATGCTAGAGGTTCACGGCGAGATACTTTTGACTTGGCGCCGAGGTATCTAAGGAGCGTAGGGACGTTAACCGAGGCTCTTACTTGTAGGAGTAGCCTCCATGGCACCTGATCCAAATTCTGAAGTTTTAGAGCTCCTTGTTTTCTCTGCTCCTTTTTTGTATTGTTTTATGGATTTATGATCTTCAATACTGTTATTTATCTCCATATGCTTCATTTCAAAATGACAGTACTATTTTTATGAATTTGAGACTACTTAGTAAAAATTAAAAAGTCGATATATGCTCAATTTCTGCATTCTAAATAATTATAATACACATATTAAATTTACACTTTTGAAAAGCAAATAATTTTTTTATAGGTGTAACCTTACTCACCATATCGACTTCACCTGAACTTAAGGTAAAATTTAGAAGTGTAACCAGCCTTGTTCTGAGCTGCAATTATTCAGTGGAACATGGAGAAAGTATATCAGATGGAGAGATTAAATGGCAAAAACAAATAAACAATAGTTTTGAAGATGTTGCGGTGTTTTCTCCTCTTGGCGGACAAGAACCCTATATTCACCCTGACATGGTTTCTGATCTTGGAAATAGAACAAAACTTGTAACATTAAATACTAATGTATACTCCAGTGCCACATTGGTAATACACGATGTTGTCTGCGGTGACGAAGGATTGTACCAATGCTGGATAGAGTATTTTGACGCTATCGACTTTAGAGATGAATGGAGGAAAAGCTCATCTTTAGTAAATTTTGAGGGTATTTTCGCCTATTAGATAAACAAAATTGAATCCAATTGTAAGATATGAAATCAATGCATAAAATTTTAGGATACAAGGCAACTTGTTGTTTAAACATACCTCTATCATCTGAATACTTAGAGTTGTTACAATCTGGTCAATGTATGCCTTGTTCATTCTCTCTCTCTCTCTCTCTCTCTCTCTCTCTCTCTCTCTCTCTCTCTCTCGTTAAAACTTATGTTAATCAGACTATATATTTGTAATTTTGAAATATTTTTGATATTATATATGTACTTTGCACGGTTTCCCTCAAGTCATTTTTTTTCTTTTAAAATCCTTTTTATTCGTGATTAAGATACATTCTAATTTAATGTAAGTAGCTGAAGCTATGAAACCGGTAGATTTCGTATTGGAACATCAGGATCAGTTGGAGGAGAATCAGTCCGTACAATTAATCTGTGCTTCTGATGTTGGAAATCCGGCGGGAAACATCAAGATTTGGAAAGTCCCGGAGAGAACAAATATTTCAGAAATCGTGTTCACTTCAAATTTACTGAACAACAAAACAAAGAACTGTACTACATTTTTAAACCTTAGCACTGAATACAAAGTTTCCAGAAAGGACAACGGAATGAAATTTCTTTGTTCCTCACAAAATAATCTTACACAGGAGCCAGGACCAGGAAGATACTCAAAGAGAATCTCAGTTCTTTGTAAGTGTACCAAATTGATCGAATATTTACCCTTGATAATAATAAAATATGACATTCTCAATTTCACCTGCATTTTTTAAGGAAAGTTCGAATATAATTATAATTCTTGTCCACCCGCCTTTAGGTTGCTGTTGTATATTTTACGTAAAAATTCATTGCTCTTTTTAACCTGTGTTCTTTTTTCTTTTCTTATGCGAACGCATACTTTTTTAAAATCCATTCTCGGCTTTGTAACTTTAATATTCAATCTGTAATAGGCAGATGTAATGCAACAGCTTTGGTAGACTTCTTTTGATATAATGCTGACAAGGCCAGTAATGCTGGTATGTAAGTATATTTACCTTACTTTATAATTGAATCTTTATTTTAAAGATAAACCAGGAACTCCAGTAATTGATCTTGTACCATTCAAAGAAATGTACTTCGCCGGTGACGATTTAAAACTGGAATGTGTCTCTGACGGTAATCCTTCCCCAGTATATAGATGGGCATTTCTATCTATCAACAAAAGAGAAGACGATATAAAATACCCCATCAGTAACAGGTCTTCATTGATGATGAACAACCTCCAAACCAACAATTCTGGAATTTACTCTTGCTTTGCTTCTAATACGTTCAATGGGAAGGGTTTTCGCGTTTGGTCTTTTGTATTTATATTGGTTAGAAATCAGACTATAAAAGGTAAGTTACGGCTACACCTAATGCATTAAAAAAAATCCCTTTTATGATTAATAAAGCCACATGGATGATTCTAATCATCCATTGGAAAGCATTGTCTTTTGGGAAAAGATTATGTTCATGTCTATGATGTATAAACATTCAATATCGGCAACTCCCCAGCTTGTTACATGTATAGCTAATCTCTCTGGTTTTGTTTAATTCATATAGATATTCCTATTTTGAACAAAGTGAGTTGTCAATAGTTATGGTTAGTTCATTTGGTAAAAGGTGTCGCTTAATTTTTTTTAAATTCATTATCATATTCTAAACATTTCTTTAGTAACGTATAGCAATTACATGATGTATCATACATTACGATTGATGCCATTTGGCATCTTCGGAAAAATGTCGAGGAGAGTAAATCTGAAAAGACGGTAACATCAGAACCCTCGCATTACTACAGAAGAAGAAATCCTGGAGAAATAAGTAAGTAAGTATGAGTGAAAATAAAACATTTAATTTTAAGTACTACACACACTAAAACAAAACTTCTTTTTATGTGCTCTTAAATACTGAAACTGATGAACAATTCGGTTCATGTGAACCTGAAGCACATTTGCAGCTCTGTTCTGCAGCATGTTAAATAATAAAGAGGGTGTGTGTGTGTGTATAGAGCATTTATTACAAATGCCAAATGAGATTACAGATTTTACAATATCAGAATGCAGCAGAAGGTGGGGCCCAAAAACATCCCACACCTTATACAAAAGAAAACTAGTACATATATTTTCTACAAAATTAACAATAAGTACCTTAAACAAAAGAAACTAGTACATCTATTTTCTACAATAACAAAAGTCATGCAATAACAATAGGCACCTTATATAAAAGAAACTAGTACATGTACTTTCTACAATAACAATAATTATGGAGGATTGAAGGGGTGGTGGTGGGTAAAATTTGTAAACCACATTTTGGAGCCGAAATGTTATTCTGATAAGGATAAGGCTAATAGCCGTTACTAGAGGACGCATAACTATAAAACCCGGAAAACCCTTCGGGACCCATGATTTCAAACAAATTGGTAATTAATAAAAATATGCAATTTATTACGTATTTAGATCACATAAATTCCTTTATATACATAAATACACTTATGTGCTCTTAAATACTGAAACTGATGAACAATTCGGTTCATGTGAACCTGAAGCACATTTGCAGCTCTGTTCTGCAGCATGTTAAATAATAAAGAGGGTGTGTGTGTGTGTATAGAGCATTTATTACAAATGCCAAATGAGATTACAGATTTTACAATATCAGAATGCAGCAGAAGGTGGGGCCCAAAAACATCCCACAAGAGGGACAATGAACGTACAGAGAAGGGTCCCTCGCCCCATCCAAAAATGTGCTTCAATTACGTAATGTATACAGCTTGATAACGATGTAAACACTAACAAAACTATTCACAACATAGATCAATGGAATTCTAAGGATGGATACTAAAAATATTAACTAAGATAAAATAAATACATAATCGAAAATCATTAACGTACCAACCAGGAATAGAATTATTGCATATCTTGACAAAAACATGTAAATAATTCAAAGAGATATAAACTATTTATACAATCCTCGATATGATACCGAACAACGAATATATTCAGTGCCGCCTAAGACAGTCACCGAATACTTCGTGTACATGTATGTAAGTTTATAAAGTGAAGACAGATAAATTCATACACAACTCGAAAGTCATTAACGTACGTACCAGGAATAGAATTATTGCATATCTTGACAAAAGCATTTAAATAATTCAAAATGATATGAAATATTAATACAATCCTCGATATGATACTCAACAACGAATATATATTCAGTGCCGCCTCAGACAGTCACCGAATACTTCATGTACCTGTATGCAAGTGTATATTAGTATAAAGTGAAGGCAGATAAATTCATACACAACTCGAGAAAGTCATTAACGTACGTACCAGGAATAGAATAGTTGCATATCTTGACAAAAGCATTTAAATAATTCAAAATGATATGAAATATTAATACAATTCTCGATATGATACTCAACAACGAATGTATTCAGTGCCGCCTCAGACAGTCACCGAATACTTTGTGTACCTGTATGTAAGTGTAGTATAAAGTAAAGGTAGATAAACTATGCAATGTTAAGCTTTCTCATGCATTATTATGATATTTAAAGCATGAAATTGACGCTTTTATGAGGTTATAGTATTAACAATTAAATTTTAAAAAAAGATGCAGAAAAATAGAGGATACCGCCTCAGACAGAATCCTCTATCTAGGTATTTAATACATTCAAATAATACAGAATAAGGGATACTTTCTCAACCATTTATCCTTTACAATCGGACTTTCTACCACCCTAAATGAAAACATATATGTACTAATAGGCGGGAAAATAGGAACCTTAATGTTCTCTGGAATGACACCAGTTGCAACCATCCCATATCTCATTTTGTGAGTCTTAAAAACACTAAAAAATGTGCCAGGGTGTTGCTGTAGCAAAAAGGGGTCCTTTGCAGCTAATTTCACCTACTGCAATTGGGCTGGGATTTTATTTCTAGATAGACTTTTATTTTACCTAAATTGTATTGAAAGTTGATTCATTGTAAGACTCCTTTAAACTCCCTTGTTGTCGTGCCTGAAAAGGTATATTTCCTCAAAGCAGCAAATATGGGTTTGAGTCTGAATGAACCGCGATTTCCCTTCCTCTCAGCAAAGATAAATTACAAAAAGGAACATAACCCTGTAGCAACATGTCCGTTACTAAGAATTGGCTATCTATGGTATCGTCACTATTTTTTTTTTATTTCGAATATTAAAAGTAATAGGCTGCACGCATCAACTGACCTAGCAAACTTTTTTGCTCCACTTAACATTTTACTGATTAACAAACGATTCAAGAAATCGGGGGTGTTTCGCATTTAAAAATAGTATATCCATGCTGCCAAGTGATATAGAGCTAGCTGATTTTCCTAAACTGAATAGGTACAGGTAAGACATAAGACATATAAACCTGTCCCAAGGAGACCACTTTAATGCACTTGGTCTATTGATCACCCTGAATGAAACCCTTAAAACAATTTAGAGCATGCCCGTACACTTACTTTGCAATAAGAGCTAAAGCGGAATCTAAAAAGAAATACGGGCTGTGTTTGGAGAGTTGAAAAATATAGATTTGTAATCTTAAATATCCACAAGCACTCTTTACCCAAAATATTGTAAAGAACCAACAATAATCTTCTTTAAAAAAAATGAATTTTCTGGTGTTTGTTAAGTTTACAATATGCAATAAACAGCTGTACTATCAGATTGGAATATGACAAATGAATTCTTTAAATAAGTCCCATAATTCAACAGCCAAAACAATTGGGAATAATTCATGAGGGTAATATTGCCTTCTTCTTTTTTTTTTTTTTTTTTTTTTTTTTTTTTGCAAGATCCATATAATTTTCTATATTCTTTTTTTTTTATTATTATTATTTTTAACAAACAATAACCATTACCCAAGAATCAGCTGTGGAGATGCATGTGTTTTGATGTAACCTTTATACATGGTATATGTTCAAATAACCACCGTATTTGTTTAAATTTCTTTGCAAATGTAGCTTTATTTTTCTCCAATTTCTCAGGTAGCAACATATTGGATTTTCCATTACCACTTGTCAAATTCAATTTAAGAAATACTAGCTTTGTAGATGCCCACGAAGTCTTTTTATCCAACACAAGTAATTCAGAGAAAATGTCCATTGACTTTACCAATCCATTATAAGACCAAAGAAAGATCTTCAAAAGTTAGCAAAAGAACTGGACAACCCAAGTGAAAACCTTATCATATAATACGAGACTTTCCCAGTGAAAGCCCAGTAGTTCATGATCCTCTTTGTGACTGGGTATACACACCAAGCTGAGATACTCAGATGGTATAAAAGATCTTGCACCCTGATGTTGTAAATCAAATCCATGCTTAATTCTGAAACCGAATGTCATTAATAATGACATAATTGCTTAGGAATAAATATTTAAGGACATTTGGGATAATAGGGGTTAAAAAAAACAAAACAAAACATAACTACATTACTTAAGGAATAATGTCAATTGTCTGGGCTTTGCAAATTGTTCCCACACTCTAAACAAATGCATTGGAATTTGCAGTTTTCAAGCTTGCATAGCCCTTCCCTATTATATGGCTAGCAAATTTCTATGGAGATTTGCTTCTCTCTTTTTTTTTTTTTTTGAAAGCCTTAGTCTAAACCTTGATCAGAAGGGGGAGATGGAAAGACCTGTAGTTTCCTCTCTATATCCCTGTGTTTAAATGCCTGAAGCACAAATTACACACTAACCATTTCCGAAGACATACCCTTAAACTTGTCTATATATCCTAATTTGTTTATCAACAGTTTGTCAAGGTTTACTTCTAGATGATGCCAAATCATGACTTGTCTCTGCATGATTTACACAAAACTGTGTTTCATTTGGGAATTTTCTAGTATAGACAGAAATCAAATGCATAGATTGCTGTTTTCCACTGAAATATAGTATTGATTGTTTGATCTGTATTTCTGGGTGCTACTGAAATGTTAGAGTTAAAATCAATGTGTACCCATTATTTTGGTGGTAGGCACAAGACTGACAAAAGGTGGTGCTCCAAGGTCAATATATTGCTCTTCCTAAGTCTTTTGTTAAAGCATTTATGGAATCATTGCTAAAATAAAAATTGATCCCTGAAGAAGAAATATTAAATGGTACCAGTTTTAGTCCCAGGTTTTTGTTTGTTTGTTTGTTTGTTTTTTGTTTTTTTGTTGTTGTTTTTTTTTTTTTTAATAAACCCTGCCAATTTCTTTGTGTTAAATCATAAACAAGTCCACCGTAATGAAATTTACAATTGAAAATGCAATGTTGGTTAATGATTAGAAGCTTTAACCAAAATATATGCTACAAGCTCTCGATTCATTCAATATAGTTATTATCATTGTGTATATATATATATATATATATATAGGTCTGCAAATTA